GTGAGACTTGGGTAAATATGGATTTGATTATATCTTTCTCAATTCTCAACCGTTTTTGATGAAACAAAAACCCAATAAAAGGTAATAAACGTGGTTACAAGGGTATGTAACGCACGTGACCGTTTAACCGGTTGCAACCGATCAAAACCGGTTTTTGAACGGTTTTAATATATTTTCGAAATGAGGCAACCGGCAACCGGACCAACCCCAAATTGGGGGAACTGCAACCGAAAAAAAGACCGGACCATGGTCCAGTTCAGTTCGGTCCACCGGTTTTTTGCGGTCCTATGGACTGAACCTTTAAACACTAAGTAGGAACCAGCCTCAGGAAATAACCGGCAAAGAGCATTCAGGAACGTCCCTTGAGTTTCAAGTCTGACTCCGAGGAGATGCCTTTGATCAAGTATTGAAATCCTGGCTGATTATTAACCTGTTGTATGTGAAGTAAGTATTTAAATGTGCTGACAGCAGCCTCGTTGTTGCGCCTGCAGGCAACAACAGGTGAATTTTTTGCCATGGATGGGCGGCATGAAAAAAAGCCCCTCATACAATGGGTCAGCCCACTTTGGCAGAGAGGTTTATGGCACCCATGCACTGCGTCCATTGGTCTCATTGGCAAGTCCCAACCTGTGCAATTATTTTGCACTCCACAAGAGGCACAATTCTTTTGCGCTCTAGAGGTGCAATTATTTCAAGCTCCATGAGAGGCGCAATTCTTTTGCGCTCCATGGGGGGCGGAATTCTTTTGCACTCCAGGGCGCAATTATTTGTGCTCCAGGACGCAATTACTTGTGCTCTATGGGGGCGCAATTATTTTCGCGCTCTAGAGGTGCAATTATTTCAAGCTCCATGAGAGGCACAATTCTTTTGCACTCCACGGGGGGCACAATTCTTTTGCACTCCAGGGCGCAATTATTTGTGCTCCAGGGCACAATTACTTGCGCTCTATGGGGGCGCAATTACTTGTGATCTATGGGAGCGCAATTATCTCGCACTCTAGAGGTGCAATTATTTCAAGCTTTTGCACTCCATGGGGGGCGCAATTCTTTTGCGCTCCAGGGCGCAATTATTTGTGCTCCAGGGCGCAATTACTTTTGCGCTCTAGAGGTGCAATTATTTCAAGCTCCATGAGGGACACAATTCTTTTGTGCTCCATGGGGGGTGCAATTTTTTTGTGCTCCAGGGTGAAATTATTTGTGCTCCAGGGTGCAATTAGTTCTGCTCTATGGGGGCGCAATTATTCTGAGCTCTACAGGGGGTGCAATTATCTCAAGCTCCACAAGGGGCGAAATTATTTGTATTCCATGGGGGGGACAATTATTTTGAGCTCCATAATATGGCGGTCCGTTTGGGTAAGTATTCCCAGACTTCATGTGTCAGCGCGCAAAAATGTATGTTGTGCGCAAAACTATTTGTAGTGTTGTGCAAAAGTAATGTCACTGCGCGGAATCATTAGTATACTTGCGCAGGATTAAGTTCAGTGCGTGCAAATGTTGATTGTGTGTGGAAAAGCTGATATGTGTGTGCAAAATTATATTTGGTTGCGCGGAAACTTTAACTATGTGGTGCCCATAAATATTATCAAGTGCCACATAAACTCTTATATGTGCATGGAAATTATTGGTTCCCTTGCACGGATTTTTTTGGGTTCCTACCATTTTAGGAATGCCGTGGTGCCATGATTAGGTAATTGATCTATTGTTGGCAGCCTCAGCGGAGTTTGAAATAAATTGACATGTAACAATATTCATAATTGATCTTCTTTTACCAATCTTGTCTTATGATATCTTCTCTGCCCTTCAATTTTGAGAATTCTTGGACTTAGGGGGGTTTTCCGGGAGATGTGGTTGGGTTCCTACAGGATAGTCACTATTTCCATTCAGGCAACCATGACCTAGGTTCATTTTTTGTTGGAATTCCAAGCACATCACATTTGTGGAAACAATGATGTGTTGCTCCATAGTTATTCCTCCATCATTCTGTTGATCATTTTGTGCTTCATGTGATGATAATTATTTCAAATTAGACTACATATTTAGGTAGCTAATTACAATATGAAGACCTCACGTGTTTGTGAGGGGCCCCTTTCAACCCGAATGCTCACAATGACCTGAGCATTTCAACATTTTTATCATGTTGTTGATTATGCCATTGTCTCTCTGGTGCTTCTTTCCCAGCTGTCGGACTTTCATGTCCTGCATCCTGGTCATGATAGCGACCATGCCCAGTTGTCTCTTACCATTGTCGTTGACGTTCGTCACAGCCTGGGGCTGCAGCCCAGCTGTCCTCGTCCCTTGTTGTCTCTGCTCGACTCAATGTCCCTGCCCACTTCCCTCGATGCCAGCCTCACTAGAGTTTTAGCCACAAATATAACTGCAGAGGACACTGCATGTGCCCTTTATGGCCCTGTTTACTTCACTGCGAGTCCAACCCCTGTTTATGTTGCTGTGTCACAGGCTGGAGACGTCTCTGGAATGGGGCTCTATTGGGGCAAGTCTTGCCATGTCTTCTTCCAAATGCATTCCACCCTCAATGGTGCCACTCTTGCAGCTGTCTCCACAGTCCTGCTCCGTTCCAGGCCACATTGTCCCTTAATTCTTTACACCTCCTCAGAATATGCTATATGCACCTACTGTTTCTGGGCTGGAAAGCATGCCTTGCAGGGGTGGGCTTGTGAGCATGCAGATATCTTGAAGGTGGCTACTGCACTGCTCCAAAACAGGGCTGCTGACACTGTTTTCTGTGTCCCTGATAGGAAAGAAAGCAACACCCACTGGAGGTCTGCAGTTCAGTTAGCCAGGAAAGCTGTTCAGGATGATACCACACACATTTTCTGCCCCCCTTCCCTCTCCACTTTACCACATTGGCTGTATCCAGTGGCCCAAAGTGTCCACCACGTTGTCACTAGTGTTTGAAAGTCTGGTTTGGTCCAGTTTTTTGATGCCCAGGGGCATTAACCGTAACTGTAACCGGTCTGCCTTTTACCAATTGGTGCTTCTATAAAATAAGTCTGGTACATCTATTATTCCCAAAAGTAATTTACATTTTAATTCATATCTCTCTTATTTTTTGACCAAATCATACGTTCTTGGGTGCATTTTAAAGGGTATTTAAGGGGCTACAAAAGACCAGTTCACATTAACCAGTTTTTTTGTGGTCTTTACATCTCAAAAATAAAAAGACTGAACCGCAGGTCCGGTCTTTTGTGGTCTTGGTCTGGTCTGGTTATGGTCTTTTTCCAGTCACAAGACCGGACTTCCAAACACTAGTTGTCACCCCTTGCCCTGTCCCCTGCTCATGAGGGTCTTCCTCTGCACCCTCCTCTGGATGTTGATGCCAACTCTGCATCTCACCATGGTCGTGCAGGGGCAAGAAAGAAAATGTGGCTGAACATGCGTAAGTTGATGTTGTGTGACTCAGCCAGCAACTTCTGGAAGTTGGTGCGTGGTTGGACAGATGACAAGCTCTGTTCTCTCCCCTTTTTGCTGGAGTCTCTGAGGTCTGCTTTTAAGTTCCATATGAATCCACCTGCTGTCCTCCCATCCTCTTTTGATGTGTGCCTTTATGCTCTGCACCATCTCACTTCAAATGTGATTCCACCCTGTACCATAGATACTATGCCAGATCGTTACTTCTCTCATCCTTTTGTGGATGAAGATGTTGACTGGGCAAAATGTAGAGTTCACAAGCACTCCCTGAATGGTGCAAAGGGAATTGATGGCATCTCTTATGACAGAATTCTCAACTTCCCCACCCATGATCTTGTGTCCCTCTTCAACATCTGTGTTGAGAAATGTGATGTGCCTCAAAGCTGGCTAATGACATTTCTGGTCAGGATTCTAAAGCTGGTCATTCAGCATTGGAGCCAGACAACTATCATCTAATTGCCTTGGAGTGCTGCCTGCTGAAGTTCATGACACTCCTTGTTGATCGCAGGTTAGGCAGTGTTTTTGAGTGAGTAGTTCCTGTCCTTGTCCTCTATGCAGGTTCCTTCCGGTCAAGATAGTCCCTGGTATAGATAGTGCTTCAGACACGACATATGCTCTTTTGCTTTACCATTTCACCTCCCCCCCAATCTATGTATGACCGTAAACTTAAGTAGTGTACCACACCAATTATAAATGAGTTTGGCATAGTATAACTTAAGAATGGGCACGTGAATAGCCCAATAATATCCCTAAGAAACATGTAATGGGTGCTGGATAGACACCATGAGGCTATATTGTATCTCAGTGAGTTCTGTACTGTTTTCCACCAAATCAGTGTTGATTACCAGCTATTTGCTGTCGATTTTAGGGCCTGAAGAGACGAGAGGCATCTGCCATCATATTTTTGAGAGATCTGTCATGCTAAGTTTCAGCAGGAGGGTGTACTCTATCTTCATGAGTTCTCCATCATTCTCCTTCGTTAAAGGCTCATTTACAATGTATTCTAGTGTTGTTTGAAGGTCCCAAAAAGACGAGAGGTTCGCGTGTCTGCATTCCGGAGATATGTTGCATTTTCTGTTTGGGGGGGCAAGTACACTAGGTCAGTCAAATTTCCATCGTTTCTTATAATCTAAGGCTCGTTTACAATCTACTATAGTGTCGTTTGAAGGTCCTGAAGAGACAAGAGGTTTGCGTGTCTGCATTCTGGAGATATGTTGCATCGTTTGAAGGTCCCAAAGAGATGAGAGGTTCGCATGTCCACACTCTCAAGATATTCCACATTTTCTGGTTTTGGGGGGGGTTAAGCTGTATCTTGGTCAGCTTTCCACCTTTTTTCATCATTGAAGCTCATTTACATTGTATTTTAGTCACATTTGAAGGTCCTGAAGATATGACATCCATATTTCTATGCTATCTCACATCCTCCCCCATTTTTTGCGAATTTATATTTATATTTAAAACCCTAGGGTTTCTATTATAGTTCTATGCTTGAAATATATATTATATTGTGTATCTATCAGGTAGACAGCATCTAATTTACCCAGATTTATGGTCACATCACTTTAAAAATTATGTGCCGGCTTGAGCAAGCTTTGAGTCAGCTAAAAGCTGAGCTGAGCCACTTAAGGAAATTTAGCTGGCTTACATCAGCCGGCTCTCGGCTAGCCAAGCCGCAGCAACACTATCCTGTGCATGTACTCTACAGGCAGACATCAATGACTCCGAAAAAACCATTCTGTTGAAGAATCTCATCACCGCCACTGGTCCTATCAAGTTGTCAGATGTGTTGAGCTATCAGCATTATCTCGATGTTGCCATGCCTGGACACTGCAAAGTGCTGACACAGCTCATGACTTTGTGCCACACCCTTGCCATGAATTGCCTTCAATGGGATTCTCTGTGGCGAAGAGCCATTCCACAGGAGCTGAGGTTATGTCGTTTCTGTCACACTGAAGTTGAGGATGAGTGCCATGTGATGCTCTACTACATCACAACTACAGCACTTACAGAGAAAAGGGGTGTCTTTTTTTCAGATGCTCAGCAGGTCCTGCTGGGAGTCCAGACTGCAGTCTTAGCTCTTCCTTCTCCAGACTTGTTGCGTTTTTTACTTGGTGAAAAGAGAGTTGTTGGGATCCTTGCAAAAAAAAATATGTGTTTGATGTCCTCGGCATTTTTGACACAGTTGAAGTGTACCTTCATCCTGAGTTGTTGCAGCCCACTGGCCTTTCTCCGTAGAGCCTTCATGTTGTGCAGCATGTGTTTGCTGTTTGCCCTGTGTCTGTAGTGTACCATTTCTGTTGCAGATAAGATGGTCAAGGTCAGTCGTGCTCCTCCTGGGTTATGGTGAGTTTTGGTTGTCGGTGGGGGGACCTGCCAGTGACCCCTTGAAGTAGGTTTTAGCCATGAGCCCTTCCAATGTGGTCAGGGGTGGGGTTAGTACTGGTCAGTTGGCTGATCGCAACAGTGACAGTCTGGTATAATCTGTAGCACAATTGTATTTAGGCGCTACAGTTGTCTGTCAGAAGCTGGTTGTTCCTCATTGGGACTGCTCCAGAATACATCTACTCTACTCTACTCATGATTCCAACTATGCTACTTTCACTCAATGTAACACTTCAGGCAGCGATGAATATGAAGGGCCACATATGTGTAAACATAGGGACTAAAAACTATGGAATAGACCAAAACCAGTGTTCCCCTGACATAAGTACTAAAGTTTGGTGATGGAATTGTACATCCATCATATGCATAAAACAAACTTACAATAAAAAAAAGGATCAGATCTAAAAAATGAATGAATAAATATGACCTAAATTCATATTTAGAATTTGCTGAACTTCCTGGGCCAAGATTTAGTGTATTCTAAATATGAATTCAGATCATATTTATTTGATCATTTTTTGGATCTGATCCCTTCTTTTATTGTAAGTTTGTTTTGTGCATATGATGGATGCACAATTCCATCACCAAACTTAAGTAAATATATCAGGACAAAAGAGATTCCAGCGTATCCCCCAGTTTTGAGAGCATATGTTTATACATATGTAGCCCTACATATTCGTTGCTGTCTCAAGTGTAATGTTCATCAAATATCATGACCAGCAGCCAGATAACCCATGGCAAATTGGGATGTAACAATAATGCAGCGCAGCAAGCTGCATGGCCCGCTATGGTCCATTTTAAATGAATGTTAATTTATACTAGAGGCTGACACTTATCAGTGGCAGTGGTCACCTTGCTTGCTGACAATACAGTTCCTGTAGCTCTCGGCGCTACTTAACAAAATCTGCACTAAGAGTCTCCCTGCTCATCACCGAACCACTTTGTGGTTCACTCCTCGCAGGTCAATTTTTTTTAAAACATGAAAATGGAACTGTATATATGTAATCTGAGTACTGTTGAGTGGTTTATAAGAATCCCCTGCTCAATGCTCAAGAAGAGCATAGGGAGGAGACAGGGTAGTAGGGTACCTAACGTAGTGGGAATGATATCCATGTTCAGTCCCAGCATCTGGCAGTGTAGAGTATACTGTATGATTACGACCGAGTCTTCATGTCACACATCACAGAGGGGTTTGAATGAAGGGAAGTGAGTGTGACATCACACATCACCGCAGGTTTTGAAGTTTTTTCTCTTGCATCTAAAATACCAATTTTTTCGAGCCTGCGGCACTCCTAGCTGTGTAGACAGCACTAGGAATCCATAAACTAAGGAGACCTACCCCACCATTGAAGATTTGACTGCAAGGACAGCCTATTCTTGATTTTCTGAAGTACAGATGAAGAGATTGTACTCTTCATCACGCCTCACATCAGATGTTGAAGTGACAAAGAGTTGATTGAAATAGGTCATGCCCTAAACGGCTTAAAGAGTTGGTCATAATCGTACAGTAATAGCATATGACCATGTGAAGAAATGTGATGTCTCAGCGGCACATGAATTTTTTCCCACCCAACGACCCACCACAAGACCCACTACTAATGTAGCGTATTTAAAGGGATGCTACAGTCATCCCCCTGCTAATGATACACCCAAAATGAGAAATTACCTTCAACAGATTTGAGCACAACCTTTCTCTACAAAAACTACATGAAAATCTCAGATAAATGCCCTTCTATAACCATACCAAATTTCAGAATGTTTGACCCACATTGCACAGAGAAAAACCAAGATTATGGGTGTATCATTGAGGGGTGTGACTGTATTTAGCTACTTTTGAAAAACAGTCCATTTTGTATGCTTCATAGCTTTGCCAATTCTGCCTCAATTGCATCCAAATTATGTACGGTGGTAGATATGAGTTTGTACTACCTGTTACAACTTGTTTCGTAGAACTCGGTCTAGTATTGAGCGAGATATTTGCTAGTCAAAAGTGTATCAAATGAGGGTGGTGTATCATTAAGGGGTGGATGACTGTACATGTCAATTTATTTCAAACTCCCCTGAGGCTGTCAATAAAGATCAATTACCTAATCATGGCACCACGGCATTCCTAAAATGGTAGGAACCCAAAAAATCCGTGCAAGGGAACCAATAATTTCCCCGCACATATAAGAGTTTTTGCGGCACTTGATAATATTTATGGGCACCACATAAATCTGTCAATAAGTTTTGGCGCACATAGTTAAAGTTTCCGCACAACCAAATATAATTTTGCGCACACATATCAACTTTTCCACGCACAATCAACATTTGCACGCACTGAACTTAATCCTGCACAAGTATACTAATGATTCCGCACAGTGACATTACTTTTGCGCAACACTACAAATAGTTTTGCGCACAACGTACATTTTTGCGCGCTGACACATGAAGTCTGGGAATACTTACCCAAACGGACCGCCATAGGGAGTAGAAGACGCAGAGTAGGATGAGGCGCGTGTTTAGGTTGCGAGATAGGAAACTGACTCAGAGGCGTTCTTGACTATACGCGCTTGACATGAGTTCTGGGTGCAACTCTGTTCAGAATCAACTGAATACATTGTAAATGGCAACCTGATCTTTCGGTATCGACATACAACTCACCTTGACTCAGAGTATTAGCGTACCCGCCGTAATTCACGTCTTACTACGTGCAATTCCTGCAGCATCGCGCCGCCGTAAGGCTCCGAGAAATTTGAAAGAGGAGGAGTTGCTGTTAGGTGCTGTTGGCGATGTGGATGATGGTGGCATGATGACAACTTGTTGCTTTGGCGGGGGACTTTGTAACCTGCTCTTTCAAATTTCACCAATCACCACCACGTCCGACGTTCTTCCTTCTGGATGGCTCCCGGATTGAGGGGACTTCGTTAGAACAAACCGAATGTGTAAGAAATCCCTGTATCTTACAAGATATAGAGAGATTACGTCCGAGGCAGACGGAGCAAGTTTAAGTTGGAGAGA